GGGACTCTGAGAAAAGAACAAAACAATCCAAATGGATTAATACTTCATCACAGACGATTCGCGTAATTTACCTTCATTGTTTCGAGTTGGTGAAGGTAGAACACGTGCACGAACAGAAGCACTCAGGGTAAGTTGCGGTGATCGAGCAGGCAAATCTTTTATTAGATTGAATATTGTCGATGTGGTAGTAATAGCCTCATCTATTGTATCGATAGCAGCATTGATTTCAGGATCATTATGGGATGGGGTGTTTTGATAGATATGAGTTTTGATATATGATCATCCAGTTTCTCATAAAATAGCTCTATTGTCAATGGAAAAAGGTGTTTTCTATTTAGCTATCAATTCCTTACTAAGACGCTTTCTTTTATTTCGTTATAAATGCATTTACTATTACTCGTCTAGTCAGAAGAGAAATTTTATTTATTCCTGCAGGAATAATTAAAATATGTGAAAGAACTTGTTTGCTAGGAATATTTTAAATATTCCTATAGGGATAAATCAATTTTAAGTTGAACTAGTTCATATTAAAATAAGTGGAAAAATTGTGAAATTTTAATTTAAACTAATTCATATTAAAATTTTATTTATTTCTAGGAATATTTTAAATTCTCCTACATTTCATTTATTCCTGCGACATATATTAAAAATAATAGGCATCTCTTTTTCTTGCCATCGGACTGATTGATAATAGTCAGTGATGGTTAGTATAAGTATTCTTTGGAATCACTGAAACGACATTTGTTCTACTTGGACGAAATAGTTTGTTTCTAACATCCGGTAATGCCATTATAGCTACCATGGGACAAACTAAGACAGCAAAATAAGTCAAATAAGATATATAATCCTAGAAAAATGAAAAATAATCTACTGTAGTATGAATGAGGTATTCAGTACGTTAGACATACTATTGATATTTCAGATACAAATGGTAAATCGGATGCATAGAGAGTCAGTAGTGTTCCCAATGTCATTGGAATCCAGGTTAAAATATATACAATCGATATCCACAATAGTTGAGCAACCATTTTTTGATTTTTATTCCATGTATGAGCACGTTGCATTTTTCGTTTATGCAATAATACACGTATGATTATAATCATATTCGTCATTGTTATTATAAATACAGGTAAAGCGTTATTCACTAGACAATCGAGTGTCGTTAAAAATGGCTGTAATAGCTGGTAACATGCTCCACCACAAACAAAAGATGAATAGTCATAAGAATAACTGCATGGATAAATGATTATAACACCGATATAAAACAATAAGGGATAGATAATGGATATTAGAATTGGTACATAATGAAACATGAGTAAATGTCTGTTAAGAAATACTTGATGAAATATGTCAAGATAACGTTGAATGGCGGCAGATGTCATTAAAAATAGACCAATAACATTTAACGTATAGTTGTACGTTATCCAGAATAAGCAATAAGACGAAGCTGCCCAAGGTACTGCATCAGTATACAGAGTTTTTAATGTAAGTGGCAATTCGGTAGTACCCTACAATTCAACAGTAATAGCCCTTGTTATATGCTTCATTCTCTACTCTCTCATCAATCGTCCAGCGGACGAATAGAAAGCTCTTGATATTCATGACAGAACAGTCCTCCTTGTATATTATAAAATCTTCTTGAATATTGTCAAAATTAGCATAGAAGCAAACGGAGCAATGATAGAATAAGGATAAATTCATTTTTGATCCCGGAAATCAAGCACAATTGATCGCGTTTACTAATATTCACGAAAAAATGCACAAACGATTTGGATTTTCCTAATAATTTTTAATTAGTTTTGAAATAATAGAACTGAACCCGGAAAAAGCTATTTTTTTTCCTTGAACAACATAATTGATCCCGGAAAATTAGCAAGCCATGGCACTGTCCTTCAATCTGAGGCTCATTGAGCAGGTATATGGTCTTTTAGTAGTTAAATGCACTTCTTTATCATCAAGACGTTCGACTTTCTCTTCGGTTTATGGTAGCTAGAAGTAATGTGCAACTTTTGCTTATTAAGGGATTAGTCTAATAAATCTGTAAAAGAAAACAGTTCAGATTAAAGATAGGTAATATTTGTTGCATACAATCAAATAAGAATATCGAACATTACTTCTACAGTGCAGTCACTATAATAATGAGAGACAAAATCTGAAACACAAACTACATTTTCTAACCACCATTATGGTCGACACACTGTTGCTGAATAACTTGAATCTAGATGAGGATTCACTTGCTATTGTTTTAAAAGAAGTTGTATTTTATATTAAATAAACTAACAGATTTGATGATTAGCTAGAAGAACGTTAATAAAATTTAAATTAGTCCACGCCATGTCTTTTCGGCTAGTCTATGTTATTTTCGCTTTTCTTTGACGTTTTTAACTTTTTTTTAATATTATTTCAACTGTTCATCTTCCATCTGTTACACTTTATCATTTAAATGTAGCCTTGTGCATGGCCTAAAATGGTTCGCCGCTGGCCTTATTATTAGAATCAATAAAGACATAAACCAATAAGTATATGCAATTTGAGCTGTTTATCCATCGCACAGATCGACTACTTTTGTATAAGGTCTCTTAAGGAAGCAAAATTTGGAATAATGTACTTGCAATTTCATTACTTCATACCATAAGGACGACAGCCATTAACTTCCATTTAAAAGTAGAAAAACGTTTGTACAAGTAATATTCCTGCCCATGCAGATGAAAAAAGTTGTTCGAGGGGTGCGGCGAGGGCTCGACCCCTCGGAAAATGGCACTTCGGATCTGCGATATAAGCTTTCATGGGGTATCGGGTTCGAGCCCTTGGATTTCAGATAAGTAGCGAACCCTCAAGAAAAATTTCGAGCTGTCGAATAGAAATGTTCGAGACTTTCGAGTCCTCAACGCCTAAAGGTGTGATGTTCGGGACTTCCGAATCCTCGCTCTCCCGAGGATGAGACGAGGACACGGAAATATCTCAAGAAAGCTTACATCGAGGGTGCGAAGTACCATTTTTCGAGGGCTCGGTCCTCGATGAAGGCCCATCGAAAGCATTTTTGCGAGTACCCGAAGTACCCCTTGAACAACTGGTTGGGTGACAACGCATAATTGTTACTTCAAAAATATACTGTTATCTATCCGAATATGGTAAGATACTTTTTAATGTAAAGATGAAGATGAGTTATTAACAATCACCAAAGAAAATAATACATGTAAAATCGTACAGAACAACTTGATTATGAATTATGTTATACATATCTTTGTTCAGAATATCCGAAATGTACCTAATGTAAATTTCAATTGAAAGCAAAACAGTCGTCTGAGGTTACATATGAATTATTTTTATGAAATCTTTTCCATAACATTAATGTTTTGTACAGTTAAAACCTATGGTTAAAGTGCGACCATATAGTTGTTCAACGAGCCTCAGATTGAAAGACGGTGCCATGATTTGCTAATTTTTCGGGATCAATTATGTTGTTCAAGGAAAAAAATAGCTTTTTCCGGATTCAGTTCTTTTATTTCAAAACTAATTAAAAATTATTAGGAAAATCCGAATCCTTTAAGCATTTTTTCATGAAAATTAGTAAACGGGATCAATTGTGCTTAATTTCCAGGATCAAAAATGTAAGTGTTCATAGAATAATGTAAAGCGCTCCTCCGTAATGTTTCTATGAAAGAGAAAATATATAAAATCTATTTTTTTCTTCTTCATTTTATTCGTTTTCTTCTATAGCTTTCTTTTTCTTAAGTCTTACACATAACGCATCAAAGAACACATATAGTAATGTGTTGTGGTTAATTATGGTACTAATTAATTTATATAATACGTATCCGTGAAGGATAAGAACGAACACAAAGTAGAAAATACTAAAAGTGAAAGGAAATAATTGTACGTAGGCATGCATCGATAAATTTGAGTTTGTTTCTGAGACGTATTTCATGAAAAGTACGTATATTAAAAGTTTTCTAACATCTCGTCTTTATAGAACAAATATTTTTCTACAAGATGGGTGAAAAAAATATTTGTTATACAAAAGCGAGTTGTTAGAAAACTTTTAATATACGTATTTTTCATGAAATACGTCTCAGAAACAAACTCAAATTTATCGATGCATGCCTACGTACAATTATTTCCTTCCACTTTTAGTATTTTCTACTTTGTGTTCGTTCTTATCCTTCACGTATATGTGTTATATATAATTAATTAGCACCCATCAATGTGTTCTTAGATATGTTATGTATAAATGTTAATAAAAAGTAAAACACGAATAAAATGAAGAAGAAAAGATATATTTTATATATTTTCTCTTTTATGCAAACATTACTGAAGGGTGCTTTATATTATTCTACCACTGCTCCGTTTGCTTCGATGATTATTTTGACGGTTTCCCTTAGTTCAAACAAGTCCAGTTTAAAATGTCAAATCTATTGATTTACAACAAAATGAATTTTCCACCAACAACGCATTATAAAATAAAAAGCAATGCGGACTTTGTTTTTGCATGGTTATAGCAGTTAGAACGGAGTAAAAAAAGTTGTTTTTATTTTCAATTGGAAAAACTAGATAGGTTTACAAAACGTACCTATGAGCATCCAACGTTTTGCTCATGTTTACTAAATCATTTGAACATTCTTAGTTTTATTAATGGGAAATTCGATGTTTTATAATCAGTTTTTCACGGATAATCAGAATAAAATAGTTTTGAAAAATAAACTGAGCGACATGAGTAAAAATTTAGCGTATTTTCAAAGATTGTACTAAATTTACCTAATTCTAAAAATTGAAGATTTCAAAACTTTTTGACATAAAAGCCGTTTTAAAAACATTAAAACTGATATTTTTCTATGCAACTCAACGATCTCTATCCAACGGTACCTAAAAAAACCAAAAAAGATTTTGTTCTGTTTTTAGATTTCCAGCATCTTAACCTGTCATACACAGGAACTTCCCGCTCGGTATTTGTTTACTAACTGTTTAAGCTTCTATTCCTTAGACTTCAATTTTCCCAACAAAAGATGACTGAGTGGTTATGTACAAAATGAAAAGCGAAAAATGAAATGAAAATTTTGCATTTTTTTTGTGCGCTCTTTTCCATCAAATATAACATTTCGAATAAATTGAACTACGAATCACACAGATTAACTTCATTAAAATATGATCCAAAGATAGTAAAAACTTTGGCCTTTTCCGCCTACTATAGTACAGAAAGTAATTCATTTACGCTCTATCGCGACTACGTAACGAACCAGTCATTTCCTTGAACGTCAAAAAACTGTGCTTAGATGAAGAGGAGTTTTGGGGCCTAGTTATTCGTATTCTCCTGAATACGGTGCGGTCGGTACTGGAGAACGAAAACGACGCTTTATTTTCTAATCTCTAAAAAATAAGTTGCTCTAATGAAAACACTTTAGTTACGCCTGAAATACAAAGCTACAAAAAATATCAATTTATTTGATTCATCTCACATAGAATTGATGAATAAAACCAAAAAGATGTTTTTTGCATTCCTTTTTTCGTATTTTTGGCTTCACAGAATTTTTAGTTTTATGCCTTACTTTTACATTTTGTAATTAATCACTCTGCACAACTGCTGTAGACAGCAGAATGATGCAACTTTTGTTGAAAAAGTTGATCAAGTCTAGGTAATAGAAGATAAAAAGGTTACTAAAAGTGCAATTTCCTTCTGATGCTCACGTTACTCAACACAATATGTTTAACGATCACTGAATGCAGAAATTGTAGAAGATTACGGAAACTTGGAGATAACCGTTAGTTTTATCTTAAAAAGGTTTTGTATGGATTCGTACGTTGGATGAAACAGAAAATTTAGCTCACACATTATTTGAGTTAGAAAACTGCTGACTGGATTACTGAGTTAGAAGAGTGCAAGTACTACTTTGTGAGAAAATAAGTGGCGCTCACTCGATGAATGGACGCTTATACAACCCAGAGACACTTGTTTTGTAATGGAACACATTTTTGAACTTGAAGTGTCCCGAATATATCTTCGAAAATGAGAATTAAACTGCAACAGAAACTCTACTTTGCGTTGTTTTTTTGCAGTTCCTTAACTAAATCTTTTGGACTGGGAGAATAAAGTGTCAGAGTTTGGACAGAAAATAGATCGAGTCGAAACTGAGAAAGTTTCCCGGTGCATCCTCTTTTGACGTTTACCGATATATGAAACATCTGCACAAAACGTTAAAACATTTAACCTTCTATTCGAAAGTATTCTAACTTTTAATCGAACTATACTTTCGACTATTTTAAAGTTACTTGTTCTGCAGAATGCTACACAAAACTGGGAAGAGTACAATTAGGCATGCATCGATTATAACCGATTGAAATTGTGCATGTTCTTCACAAAAATATTTTCTCAAAGAAAATTGATTCTCTAAAAAAGAAAGGATGAGAGAGAAAGAAATATAAATAAGATAATTATACTGTACTTAGTTTTATGTAATATTCTATACGATGAGTAATTTGAAAATGGCCGAAATAATAAACCTCAATATAAATACAAATTTGTGCTGTATTTTGAACTTAATTCTCTCAAATTTGCACTAAAATCGTATCTTATTGACCGCGAAAGTTTTAAAATTTTTATAATTTTTAAACAGATATATTTTTTGCTCAAACTCTGGAACTCATGTTTAGGTATTGTTTCCTGGAAAAGCAGATTTTTCATTGCGTATCATATCACCCCCATCGAAGGTTTGTGCATTCGAGCTCAAAATTTTACCACAGATACTAAGCTCCAATATGCCTAGGTTTTTTCTGTTTAGCTCTTCAAAGGTGTAACACGAAGGACTTATAAGTAGACCGTGCAAAAGCGGATTTCAACTTTGAGACTTCCAAAAATCAGTCGTTCTTTCTATGAAGAAAAGATGCTTGAGAGCTAAATCAAAAAACATCTAGACGTATGAATGTCTAGTATCTATGGTAAAAATTAGAGCTCAAATACATAAAGTTTCGATCGGGTCGGTACGGTGCGCAATGTGGCCGAGTCGGAGTTTACATTAAGAGCGCAGAAACACAAAAATATGCCTTTTATGGCTCTTGACAAAGTACTTTTAACTTTTGAATCAAATATCGTGTAGAACTGGAAGACGTTCTATTTTGGAGAAAACTAAGCAATCTACAAGAGCAGCTGTTTAAATAAATGTTGCATTATATGAAAGAAAAGGAAAAGCTTCGATACTGGAAAATCAGAGTTTTTCAGCTTAAAGTGCCAGACATTAAGAAATCCATATTTCCTCAAAGAAAGACTGCGGGAAGATGTCTCAGATTGTAGAGGACACTTGCCTCTATCATACACTATGCTCAACACAAAAGTCAATTTTGGTTGGTGTATCTATGGTAAAAATTAGCTGAAAATGCTAAGACGAATTTATGATATAGATTTTAATTATAAATAGATAAACTGTATGACTGCTTGTGGCGTTGAAGATCTGTCGTGATAAACTACTTCCATGGAGTTCATCGACAGATAAATGGCTGAGTGTTTTAGCTAATGTAGTACGCAGTGACTTATTTACTCTGAGAGCTTTCGTTAAAATGTTAACTGTTGCCAGTTTTATTTAAGGTGTGTGTTCTAAGAAAAACTTAGTAATAACTGCTTTCAGGACTGAAAATGTTTGAACATATTTTGACTCAAAGCTTAAAATTATTGTTCATATGATGGAATTGGTACTTGATTTCAGCTGAAATGGCGATACAGTTCGAAAACGATAGATATTACATATTACCTGTACAAATGTGCATATGACCAAACATAAAATAATATGATTTTGACGCTTTTTCTTCACGTGTCTCAAACGAATAAAATGATAAAAGATCAATAATGAACAACATACGGATGGTATCAGAAAAATCAGAAGGACATAGAATTTAATCAAACTTTGTTTCATAGTAGTAATAAGCTGTGACTATCTTATCATCAATACTGCGTCAAGAAACGTTTTTGTATAATTAAATCTTTAGAGTATTCTACATTCAGTCAATTCTT